TGGGGTGAAATGATATCTCATAGTTGTTTTAATTTGCATCTCTCTTAGGGCTAGGGATTTTGAGCATTTCTTCATGTGTTTGTTAGCCATCTGAATGTATTGGAGAGAGTGAAGACGGACTGCTCCTTGGAGTCAAGGATTCTGAAGCTTTGTCTGACATACTTTGGGCATGTTGCAAAGAGGGACTGTTCCTTGGAGAGGGACATCATGTTTGGGAGAGTGGAGGGGTGGTGCAGGAGAGGAAGACCCTTGATGAGATGGATCAATTCTGTGAGTGGAATGGTGGGAACAAGTGTGTCAGAGACAGCGAGGTTGGCACAGGTTAGAACGGTGCTTTGGACTCTTGTACATAGGGTTGCTATGAGTCGCAAGCGACTTGATGGCACATAACTACAACAACAACATGGACTTCCCAAAGAACAAATGAGTTTGTCTTGGAGGAAGTACGACAAGGGAGGCAAAGATGGTAAATTTTGTCTCATATGCTTTGGGCATGTTGTGAAAAGGCACTAGTCCTTAAAAGAAGACATATTGTTGTAAGGTGCTGTAGAGTCAAGTACAGCCCATAGAGACCTTGTGAACACTAGATCTGAATCCTTTTCTATACTGTGCCATCTTTACACTTCCTGACACACTAAAGCCCATTGTGTCAGTCACCATGTCATTCCTTCTGGTTGAGGGTCTTCCTTTCATTCATCAATCCTTCACCTTTTCTAGCATAATGTCCCTCTCCAAGGAGTAGCCCCTCCTACCAACATGCCCAAAATATGTGAGGCAAAGCCTCATCATCTTTGTCTCCAAAGAGTATCATTGCTGCACCCTTTCTTAGCTGTCCATGAGATGTTCAGTGCTCTCCTTCACTACCATAGCTCAAAGGCATCAATTCTTCTTCCGTCCTCCTTATACATTGTCTAGCTCTCAAATACCAAGTGATTGGAAAGTCCATGGCTTGAGTTAGATGTGTCTTAGTCCTCAGACTGACATCATTACTCCTCAAAAATTTGGAGAGGTCTCTAATTTCAGATTTTCCCAGTGCAATGTGTCTCCTTATTTCTTGACTCCTGGTACTAAGGATGTTCATTGTGGATCCAAGTAAGATGAAGATGTTGACAGTTTCAATCTTTTCTCCATCTATCAACATTGTCTATAGGTCCGGTGGTAAGAATCTTTGCTTTCTTGCCATGGAGATGCAGTCCATTCTGAAGGCTGTATTCTCTGATCCTCTACAAGTGCTTCAAGTCCTCCACACAAGGTTGTATCATCTGTATTAACACAGGTTATTGATGAGTCTCCCTGCAATTCTCATGCCACATTCCTCTCCATAGAGTCCAGCTTCTTGAATGATTCAAGAATATGTTTTGAATAAAAAGACATAATTCTTGGAAAATAGAGGCTTAGCAAAAGAGAGAAAAGACTTCAGTGAGATCAAGTGACACAGTAACTTCATTCAATAACGACTTGAGCAGGATAAAAAATGCAGATGGTACAGATCAGAGCAAAGGTCACAGATATGAGTCATAATCACCTCAATGACACCTAATAACAACTGTTCAATTTGGAGAGCATACCAGTGAATGTTTGGTTTTTGGGTTGGGTCGTTGGGGTTTTTTCCCCCGCTTCCCAATGGAAAGAGCACTGATATCATAATGTATTTCATGATTACCTGGAAGGATGAGGGGATCAAATCCATTAACTGTTCTAATGGAGAAAGAGGAACAGGTTCTTCCCATAAGGAGTTAGTCTTAAAAACCTGAAGGAGGTTCAACATGAATCGGAATAGACTGGAAGGTTTGGTTTTGGTTGCACCTCCCAGTATCCTCCTCTGTTCGTGATTCTCTTGTTGCAGAAGGAACTGTCATGTCCTGGTGTCCAGTGCTGACTCTTCTATTTGTGTCCATAGTTGCTGGCTGAACACGGAGACAGGCTTCATCTGGAGTTTCTTGGGGCCAGTTTGCACAATCATCCTGGTAAGCAAGTTTTTGCATGGAGAGAAGTCTGTTGGGGCACTAAGGAGACCCAAAAGACCAGGGAGTGTCAATAGACAGACTAGCTGAGGTGGCATTTTCCCCTTCAGTGTTCTTCCTTCTGGTTTGGGGTCCTTGATATTTCCAAGCCCACCCAGAGTACAATTTCTTTAATTTATTAATTTTTCCTGCCAAAATGTAAGTCCTACTGGTAGAAACCTCATTCTTGTGTCTTCTGTTTTTCCTTAAAACTATGTGTATCACATGAGATATACATTGTCAAAGATTTTCCCACCAATCTTGATGCAAGGTGCTTCTTAAATATAGTCCATAGTCTCAGATTATTTGTTCAGCAAACATAGTGAGGAAACATGATGAAAAGATATTTTCCTGACACACCCTTTACTTAATTTTAAAGTACATAGTTCTTCTTGTTCTAGTCAAATGGCTGTTTCTTGGTTTATGCATAGATTCCACTTGAGCACCATAAAATGTGCTGCAATTCGCATACTTCTCACTGTTATGTAATTTATCATAATCCACACAGTCAAGCACCTTTTCATAGTCAATAAAACACAAGTGAACAACTCTGTGGTATTTTCTGCGGCTGGCCAAGATCCATTAGATGACATCAATGATATCCCTCATCCTACATTCTCTTCTGAATCCAGTTTGAATGTTTGGCTATTCCTGTTGATGTACCTCTCTACTCATTTTTAAATTATTTTAGGCCAGATTTTAATTGCAAATAATATTGTTTGATAATTTCCATGTTCAGTTGGATCTGCTTTCTAAGGATTTCTAAATCAGTTGGCCACTCTCCCTAATATCTTTTTTTTTTAAATTTTGTGTGCCGTCAAATCAGATCTGACTGGTACAGGAGGATATTGCGCCTCCTTCTCCGGCAGAGCGTCTGGTGGATTTGAACCGTGTTCCTCTGGGATTGCAGTGCAGTTTCATGCCACTAGGCCACCAGAGATCCCCTTCTCCCTAATATTTTGGCATGGACTAATAAGTGCTTCCTATATTTCATCAGTTTGTTTTCACATATCAACTAGTGTTCTATTAATTTCTTGAGTTTTGCTTTCCTCCAATATCCTCAGTGAAAGTTGAACTTCTGCCTTCACGACTGTTGTTTCTTAATCGTACGTTACTGACTGAAATGCTTGATTATTGACTATTTTTGACATAATCATTCTGTGTATTCTTTCTATCTTCTCTTGATGCTTCCTGTGTAATCAAACTTGGTCCACAGTTTGCTTCTGCGTTGCAAGTCCAAACTTAAATCTGTTCTTTAGTTTTTCAGCTTAACAGTATATTCAAATTTTGTAAATAAACTAGTATATGGGGGGGGAGGGAAAGAAATACAAAAGAGCATTTTCTTCTCTTTCATTTCTCTAATTCCATGTAGTGTACATTTCAATACAATACTTTGTCATTTTGAACAGCCTTTTGAAATATTCTGTTCAGCTCTCTCCATCTTTTCTTGTTTTCACTTTAGCCACTCTGCATTCAAAGAGCAAGTTTCAGAATCTTTTCTGGTACCCACTTTGGCCTTTATTTTCTCTCCTGTTTTGAAAATGACCTTTTGTGTTTTTCACGTATGAACTCATCCCCCTTATTCCCAAAATCCCACCTAACTATTCTGTGGTGCTCACAAGACCGTGGTTAGAAAAGCCGTATAAAACCATTTACACTGCAACTTGCCACTGAGTTGATTTTCTTGCGGTCCCTAAGCATATAGAACTGTGCTCACAGGGTTGTCAGTGGTTGATTTTTTTTTTTAAATAGTTCAGCTTTCTTCCAAGGCCCTCTAGGTGGACTTGAACCCTCTGCTTTTGGTTAGCTGATGGGTATGTTCACCCAAGATTCTCTGAGATGCCAAGGGAGGTTCTAGAGGAAAATGAACTGTCCACTCATGGTCATGGTCTGAGTCGTCAGCATTGGCCCTGCTTCTAACTTGTGCTGCATCCTCCTGCTCGTCTCTGTAGATCAACACCATGCTCCTCACCTGGACGCTGTGCATCCTGAGGCAGAAGCTGGCCAATGTCAATGCTGAAGTCTCCAAGCTCAAAGACAACAGGTGTGGCCCCTCCTTCCTGCTCTAGTCTTCCTCATCTTTGTGTGTGCGTGTGTGTGTTTATTTTAAAAATTCAAATACATTGTTTTTCACACTATATTCTTCCAATTTCCCCTCACCCCCCCATCAAATTGTACAGCCCCATCATTAATTCCCCCCAAAACTCCCTCATCCTTCTGCTTCCATCTTCTCCCCCCTCCTTGAATCCTCATACTCACTCTATAATAATGCTTGTATACAATAATTGTCCTTCTGAGACTAAGTTCACTCAGCATAATGCTCTCAAGTCTCTCCCAAGTTAGGAAATAGGTTACAAAATCATTGCTTCCTGCATGCTGCATAGTATTCCACTGTCTGAATGTCTCAGTCCATTCAACTGTTGTCGGACATCTGCGCTATTTTCATATTCTTGCGATGGTGAATAACATTGCTATGAACATTGGTGTAGAAGTCTCCATTTGAGTCTCAGTTTTCATTTTCTTGGAGTATATTTTAACTAGTGGAATAGCTGGGCCATATGGAATTTCTATGTTCAGCTTTTGAGGAAATACCGAATTGCCTTCCAGAGTGAATGTACCATTTGACAAGCCCACCAACAATGAGTAAGAGTTCCTATCTTGCCACATCCTCTCCAACATGTATCATTTGCTGTCCTGCTAAACTTTGCCACTGTTACTGGAATGAAATGGTATCTTGTTGTGGTTTTGATTTGTGTCTCTCTTTTTGCCAGTGATTTGGAACATTTCTTCATGTGTCTGTTGGCCATTTGAATGTCTTCCTCTGTGAAAATTCTTTTTATGTCTTTTGCCCATTTTGTAATTGGGTCATCAGTCTTTTCTTTGTGGTGGCCCAGAAGTATTTTGTAAACTTTCATTATGAGACTCTTGCTTGAGATGGTATTACCAAATGTTTGTTCCCAGTCAGTAGGTTTTCTTTTCACCCTGCTGTTAAAAGTTATTGATGTGCACAGGGATTTAGTCTTTAGAAGGTCCCATTCATCAATTTTATCCTCTTCTGATTGTGCTTTTCTGGCTGTCTTTGGCAGTCTCTTTATACATCGGACTAACACCTCTAAGCTTAATTCCAGTTTGTCTCTTATCATCTTCATGATTTTGGGATTTACTCCCAGGTCTCTGATCCACCTTGAGTTGATATTGGTATGTAGGGTGAGATAAGGATCCTGTTTCAGCTTTCCGCAGGTAGAAGCCCAGTTTTGCCACACCATTTGCTGAAGAGGTTGTCATTTCCCCATTTGATAGACTTGCTTTCCTTGTCAAATATCAGTTGATAGGTGGGTCCATTTCTGGGTTCTCAATTCTGTTCTATTGCTCTATGTGCCTGTCATTGTACCAGTAACATGCTTTCGGTTACTATTTGTGTGAGTAGGTTTTGAGGTCAGGGAGTGCTATGCCTCCAACCTCATTTTTATTTCTTACAACTCCAGAAATCAGCCCATCTACCTATGGTCAACTGATTTTTTACTAGAAGATAAAATCAGTTAAATGGGGAAATGACAGCCTTTTTAACAAATGGTGTTAGGAAAATTGGAAAACTATCTGAAGAAAACTCAAGCAAGATCCACACCTCACCCCATACACAAAACCCAACTCAAAGTGGATCAGGGACCTAGAACTAAAACCTAGGACTATAAACTTCATTAAAGAAAAGCTTTGAAGAACTCTAGAAGTCCTAATCCACAACATAAACAGTCTTCCAAGCATCCTGAAAAATCTACAACCAGGAGAGGATAAAATAGATGACTGGGACCTTTTAAGAATAAAATTCCTATGCACATCCAAAAACTTCTCCAACAGAGTTAAAAAGGGAAGCCACAGACTGGGGAAAAATATTTGGTAATGACATGGCAGATAAGGGACTTATATCTTGAATCTATAAAATACTTGAGAACAACAACAAGATAAAGGTAAACAACCCAATTGAAAAATGGGCACAGGATATGAACAGACACTTTACCAAAGAAAGCATTTAGATGGCCAGCAAACACATGAAGAGAATGTTCAAAATCCCTAGCTCTAAGAGAGATGCAAATCAAAACAGCTATGAGCTATCATCTCACCCCAGTAAGAATAGCAAAATTTAACAGAACAGAAAATGCTGGTGAAATTGTGGAGAAACTGGAACCCTTGTTCACTGTTGGTGGGAGTATAAAATAGTATAAACACTATGGAAGTCTGTATGGCACTTCCTCAGAAAGTTGCAAATAGAAACACCATTTGACCCAGCATTTTCCTACAGGGAATATACCATAAAGAAACTAGAACTGCCACCCAGGCACATATATGCACACTCATGTTTATTGCTGCTTTGTTCACAATAGCAAAGGGTTGGAAACAACCTAAGTGCCATCAACAAATGAATGGACAGAGAAGCTGTGGTATACTCACACAATGGAATACTATGCTGTATTGAAAAACAAGGAACTCATGAAATATTATACAAAATGGATGACCCTGGAGGACATTATGTGGAGTGAAATATCTCAGTCACAAAAAAGACAAATATTGCAAATATTACTGTTGTAAAACAGGATTGACATTGGGGTTCGGGGAAGACTGAGAAAGATGGGATTAATTATGTATACTGCACTGAAACAGATGAGGGAGAGAACTGTTTAAAAGGGATATATGATTAGGTATTATTGTCATGACATGAGTCCAGAATGAAGGCTGCATAGTGGAGCAGACTTGGGTGGAGGGATTGTATAACAATGAAAGAATTTTTCTTTTACTTTTCAAAGAGAAGAGAAAATTAAGGGGGGGGAGGGTGGACAGGGAGAAAAGTGTCACAATGAATGAATGGAAATCCAAAGTCTCTGCAAACTTTCGATAAAATTAATAACAATTTAAAAACCAAAAAAACCCCACAAGTGTTTTGCTTAGTCAGTGTCTCTTGTCTATGCAAATAAATTTGACAGTTTTTCTTTCAATCTCCTTGAAAAATGAATTTGGTATCTGAATTGAGGTCGCATCGAACATGTAGATCGCTTTTTGTCGGATTGTCATTTTCACAATACTGAGTCTCCCTATCCATGAACAGGGTATATTTTCCCATTTCTTTAGGTCTTTTAGAGTGTCTTGCTTCTGCAAGCGCTTTGTAGTTTTCTTTGTATAGGTCGTTTGTATCTCTAGTTAGGTTTAGTCTCAAGTATCTCAATTTGAGGTTGGCTGTTGTAAGTGGTATTGCTTTATTCCCCTTGCCCCCTTTTTATACTGATTTATTTACAAAGTTTGAATCCATTGGTTTTCACAAAAGATCCTTCCCATTTCTTTCACCCCACCCACCCATCGATTTGTGCAACCCTATGATTAACACTTGATCCCTACTTCCTTCTCTGAGTTCTCTTTGTTACTCGGAAGGAATCCTTCTGATATTTGGATATTGATCTTATATCCTGCCACTCTACTGAATTGGCCTACTAACTTTAAGTTTTGTTGTTGTTGTTGAATCTTTGGGGTTTTCTATGCATTGCTATCATATCATCTACATATAATGATAGTTTAACTACCTCTTTGCCAATCTAGATGCCTTTTATTTTCTTCTCTTGTGATATTGCCCTAGCAAGCACTTCCAATACAATATTGAGTAGAAGTGGTGACAGTGGACATCCTTGTCAGGTCTCTGTTCACAAGGAAAATGCCTTTAGTCTTTCTCCATTGAGAATGATGTTGGTTCTTGGTTTTGCACATATACTATTCAAGTATGTTGAAGAAATTCCCTTCTATTCCAATTTTGCTGAGTGTCTTTATCAGGAAGGGGTATTGGATGTTGTCAAATGCCTTTTCTGTATCAACTGCTAGGATCCTATGTTTCTTGGTATTTACTTCGTTAATATAGTGAATTATGTTGATTGGTTTTCTTATATTGAACTGTCCTTGCATACCTGTTATGAATCCCACTTGGTCATGGTGAATTATCTATTTGGCATGCTTTTGGATTCTATTGACAAGGATTTTGCTAAGGGGTTTTGCATCTATATTCATGAAAGATACTGGTCTGTAGTTTTCTTTCTTGGTAATCTCCTTTCTTGGTTTTTGGTATTAGGATTATACTTGCCTCATAGAATGACTCTGAAGTGTTTCTTTTTTTATAATTTTTAAAAAGAATTTAAGTAGACTTGGTGCTAAATCCTCTCTGAATGTGTGGTGGAATTCAGCTATGAAGCCATCTGGTCCAGGACTTTTCTTATGGGGAAGTCTTTTTATTACTTTTTCAATTTCTTCTTTTGTGATAAGTCTGTTCAACTGTTCTATATTTGTCCTTGTCAATTTGAGTAAAGGATATTATCCGAGTAATTTGTTCATTTCCTCTGGGTTTTCTCATTTATCAGAGTATGGCTTTTCATAGTATTCTAATATTATTGATTTAATTTCCTCTGGTCCTGTTGTGGTGCCACTTCTATAATTTCTTAATCAAGTTATCTGTGTCTTCTTTCTTTTTTTTCTCTTTTGTGAAGTTTGCCAGTGTTTTGTCAATTTATTGACCCTAGTTTCAAAAAACCAGCTTCTGGTCTTACTGATGGTTTGAATTGCTTTTGTTTTCTATTTTATTGATTTCAGCTCTTGTCCTTTTAATTTATTTTCTTCTAGATGTTGTTGAATTAGATTGCTGTTTTTTTGTATTTGACGAAGATGTTGAGTTAGATCATTGATTCTTCTTCTGTCTTCCTTTTTTATGTATGTGCCTATTGCTATGAACTGCCCCCTGAGTATTGCCTTAGCTGCTTCCCAGGGGTTTTGGTATGTTGTATTTTCATTACCATTTATTTCAAGGAACGTGTTAATTTCATTCTTTATTTCTTTTATAACCCAATCACGTTCTAGCAGAGAGTTGTTTAGTTTCCACATGGGTGGTTTTGTAATCTTTACTCTCCTGTGGTTAATGTATACTTTTATGGTATTGTGGTTTAAGGAGATACTTTGTATTATTTCAATGTTTTTTAACTTGTTGAGGCTCGCTTTGTGTCCTAATATATGATCAATTTTGGAGAATATAAGTTGGGCATTTGAGAATAAAGTAAATTGATCTTTAATTAGGTGCAGTCTATGGTCTTTGCAATCACTTTTTATGCATCAGAGAGTTGGACAATGACTAGGGAGGATAGAAGGAGAATTGATGTCTTTGAGCTGTGGTGCTGGAGAAAAGTATTGAATGTACCATGGACTGCTAAGAAAATGAACAGGTTCATCCTGGAGAGGATTAAACCGGGCTCTTCCTTGGAGGCAAGGATTCTGGGGCTTCATCTCACATACTTTGGATATGTTGTAATGAGGGACAGGTCCTTGGAGAGGGTCATCATGCTTGGGAGGGTGGAGGGACGATACAAGAGAGGAAGACCCTCTATGAGGTGGATTGATTCAGTGACTGGGATAATCGGGATGGGTGTGTCAGAGGCAGTGCTATTGGCACAGGTTAGAGCAGGGTTTAGGGCTGTTGTACATAGGGTCACTATGAGTCACAAGCGACTAAACGGCACATAACAACAACAACAACCCTGAATACATCCACAAGGTCAAGTTGGCTGATTATATAGTTTACATCTTCTGCAGCTTTGTTGAGTTTCTCTTGAATTGACCTGTCTTTTGGTGATCTCCTACCACTATTGTGGTTCTGTCTACTTCTCCAATTCTGTTAACCATTGTTTTACGTATTTTGCAGGTCTATCATTTGGCACTTAAATGTTGACCAAGGTTATGTCTTCTTGATCCTGGTGCCTTTAATCAGTATGTAATGTCCTTCTTTTCTTTGATGCTAGTTTTCATTCTAAAATCTATTTAATCAGAGATTAATATTGCCACTCCTGCTTTTTTGAAGTTTCCATTTGCTTGGTATATTTTTTTTTTTTTGCCTTTGATTTTAGTCTGTCTTTCTCTTTTTTTAGATGTGTCTCTTATAGGCAACATATTGATGGACTTTAAAAAAATGCATTCTGCTATTCTTTTTTTCTTAATTGGTGCATTTAGTCCATTCACATTAAGTGTGATTATTGTCAGGTGTGGATCACAACAAACTGTGGCTGACTCTGAGAAGAATGGGAATCACAGAACATTTGATTGTGCTAATGTGAAACCTATACTTGGACCAAGAGACAGTCGTCAAAACAGAGCAAGGAGACACTCACTACATGGTTCAAAATCAAGAAGGGGGTCCATCAGGGATGTATTTTTTCTCCATACCTTTTCAATCTGTATGCAGAACAGATCATCCAAGACACTGGGCTGTACGAGGAGGAATGTGGTATCAGGATTGGTGGAAGAGTCATCAACAACCTGTGTTATGCAGATGACACAACCCTGCTTGCTGAAACCGAGGAGGACCTGAAGCGCTTGCTGCAGAAGGTCAAGGACTGCAGCCTCCTATATGGATTGAAGCTCAACATCAAGAAAACAAAGATTCTCACCACTGGGCCAATTGGCTGAATCAGTATTGATGGTAAAGAGATTGAGATAGTTAACAGCTTTAGTTTACTTGGCTCCACAGTCAACACTCTTGGTAACAGCAGCTTGGAAATCAAGAGACAAATTACATTGAGAAAGTCAGCTGTGAGAGACCTCTCAAGAGTACTGAGGAGCAACAACATCAGGAGTCTAAGGTGCACCTGATCCAGTCTTTGCAATTACAAGCTATGCATCAGAGAGTTGGACAGTGAGTAGGGTTGATAGAAAGAGAATTGATGCCTTTGAGCTGTGGTGCTGGAGAAGAGTGTTGAATATACCATGGACTGCTAGGAGAACAAACAGGTTCATCCTGGAGAGGGTGAAGCCAGAATGCTCCTTGAAGTCAAGGATTTTGTCTGACATACTTTGGGCATGTTGCAAGGAGGGACTGCTCCTTGAAGAAAGACATCATGCTTGGGAAAGTGGAGGGGCAACAGAGGAGAGGAAGACCCTTGATGAGATGGATTGTTCTGTGATTGGGGTGGTGGGGATGAGTGTGACAGAGTCAGCAAGATTGGCACAGGATAGAATGGCATTTACGGCTCTTGTACATAGGGTTGCTATGAGTCGCAAGTGATTCAATGGAACATAACAAAAACAACAACAACCACTAGTTTAGTCACAAAATTCAAATACAAATTGGAACAAATTATTTCAATCCCCCTCATCTTCCCACCCATCAAATTGTACAACCTAATGATTAATCCCCCCTTTTCCCTGCACATCCACATCCCTCTGCTTCCAGCCTCTTCCACCCCTCCTGGATCCTTATACTCCTTCTACAATAATGGTTTTATACAATATTTATTCTATGGGACTGAGTTAGTTGCTGTAGTGGTACATCAATGTTTTGCGAAGCACTTATATATTTGTATTCCTCTCTTGGCCCAAGGCCCACAGAGCATTACCTTATGGAAGTGGCTTCTCCACATGCTTCGAGGCGTCCTGGTCCTCCGTCTTTTTGAGATTAAGGGGTCCTGCGTGGTCAAGCTAGATAGCAGTGTTTTCCCCAAAGTACCTTAATGACAAACCGGGAAACCTGTTGTTCTCTTCTGGAACAGGTGTCTCTGCCTCATTTGAGCAGCTCCAGCTTTCTCACTGTCTTCTGATTGAGCTTAAGGGGTTCTGAGTGATGTGGCTAAATAGCAGTGATCCCCCCCAAAGTACCGTGATCACAGCACTGCCACTTCCTGCTGGGCAGTGCCACCACTTCCTGCTGCTAGTCTTCTTCATCTCTTCCCAGAATTGCTTATTCAATCCCTTTGTACTTATGACCTTGATGGGATGTGCACAGGATAGCACGGTCTAACCACCAGATGTACCACTTACTAGCTATGTGACCTTGAGCGAGTTACATAGTCTCTCTGAGTCTCACCTTCCTCGTCGATTGATTGATTGTGGTTTACTGTTAGATGTTACCAAGTCAACTCCAACTCATGGTAGCCCCAAATGACAGCATAGAATAGCCCCAAGGGGTTCTGGGCTATTAACTTTTCCAGGGCAAAGTCCTAGGGCTTTCTCCAAGGAGACACAGATTAATTGAAACTGCTAATTTTTAGCTTATTGTTGTTTCTCAGTGCCATCAGGTCAATTCCAATTCATTGTACCGTGTACAGTATAAAAGGGAAATGTCCACAGGGTTTTCTTGGCTGTGATCTTTATGGGGATTGATTTCTAGGTCTTTCTCTTTCAAATATTCTGAGTTACAATCATCAATTTTCAAAAAGTAACCCAGTATATCACCATTATGCTTCCACATGTATAAAATAAAGCAAGGTAAAACAATAGTGGCCATTGTTATTGTAATAGACACCCAGCTTGTGTAAGAGAAGAGCTGCATGTTGTGAGTCTCCGGTGCTGATTTTTAGGAAATATCTCCAGAACTTTCTTCCAAGGTCCTCTATGGGCATGGGGGTAGGGGGCACATTGTTGAACTACCAACCTTTCAGTTGGAAGTTTTATGTTCAGCCATTTGTACCATATGCAGTTCCTTCTAGATGTTTACTTTTTGCAATATTCTTCCTCTAGACTACTGACCATTAAGGCCTTTGCTCAGCTCTTCATCTTGGGCTGCTCCTGGGTCCTGGGCATTTTCCAGATTGGACCCATAGCCCGTATCATGGCCTACCTCTTCACCATCATCAACAGCCTTCAGGGGACCTTCATCTTCCTCATCCACTGCCTGCTCAACCGTCAGGTAAGTGGCTGCGGCCCTTCTCATCTCCACTCTCATCATGGATGCCTGTTCACTCCTTTCTTTCTGTATGTGGAGGGACTCCTCTCTCTGCCCTGTGTCTGTCTCCAGGTGCGAGAAGAATACAGGAGGTGCTTCACCAGGAAGACCAAGTCCAGCTCCCAGTCCCACACCTCAGGGATCCTACTGTCCTCCATGCCCTCCACTTCTCAAATGGTGAGAGACTTCTGTTGCAAACTGGATGCAGAAAGAAAGCAGGAACACAAGAAAATGAGTTTTAAAAAAGAGGCAAGGCTCAGGCAGAAGTCTTCTCACAGCATGGCACTGTGAAAAGGCCCCTTTCCTAGTATCCCTATGGTTTTTATTTAGTTTAGGCCAATCATCATCCAAAAGGTTCAATCTCCAGAGACTATAATTTACATTTTACTTAAGTGCTGCCAACATAACAATGGGTAAGCTTAATCTTTAAACTCAGACCAAAGCTCAGACATGGCGTCCCCTTGGGTGGGAGGCTGGGTGTAGGTCTCTGTTTGCAGAGGGCATCCAGTATCTCCTTGGGCGGGGGGGTGGCTGGGTGGAATTCTCTGTTTGCAGAGGGTGCTCAGGCCTTGTCTGGACTCTGATCTCAGCTGTGGCCTTGCTGTCACTATGCTGGGGAAACCACAGACCTCATTTGGCACATGATCTGTTCAGATGGATGTGTCCCTTAAGAAGTTTTTTTGTTGTACTACCATCCTCCTGTGTGGGACCTGCTCTTCCTCATAGGACACCACTTAGAAGGAATTCAAAAGTCTCTTAATGCTAAAATTAGCAGTGCAAATTTAGGAAAAAAGACTCCATTAAAGACTTATACCCTTCCCCAGGCCCCAACCAGAGGGAGAGAAGGTCATCCATACTGTCATCTAGGATCAATTGCTGCAATCTGGTAGCTTGCTCTAGACTGGACTTTGCTTGAAGAAACAGATGTTCAAAGTTTCCAACTTGAACAGAGAATTCTTCAGCAAAAGGGACATGCTGGTTCCCTCACAGTACTGGTTTGGTGGTGGTGGTGGTGGTGGTGGTGGTGGTGGTGAATATGGATGAATTGGAAACAACCCATAGCTGACCTTCAAGTGTGTTTTCAGAGGCAGTTTAATTGCACTGAAGATTGCCCATCTTTCTCCTGCAGAGCAGCCGGTAGATTCGAACCACATGCCTTCAGGATTGCAGTGCAGCTTCTTACCACTAGGCCACCATGGGCAAAAAAAAAAGAAATTGGCTATTTAAAAGAAGAATCGTAAAGCATAACCTATAAGCTGTCTTACATATTTTCATGAATACAATTATTAGTGAAATAATTGTAAGGGGAAAAAATCCACAAAACACATGAATAAAATATAATGCAATGAAAGAGTCTATAAAACACAATATATATGCACTAAACACAATGTATATGAATGAAAGAAATAATAATTTTTAAAAGGTTGTTGTTGTTAAGTGCCATCAAGTTGTAGGCGACTCATAGAGAGACCCTATGAACAAAAGACCCAAACACTTGTTTAATTTTCATCTTTTCTCCAGGTTCGCAAGTTCCCGGACGCAAGCTGTTTTGGAAGTGGATGCCACTCCTACTTCCAAACGTTTATTAGAAAATGTAAAACATATAAAGCAAAAGGTTTAAAGGAGGTTAGATTTACAGCCTTAAAATCCTACTGATCAGTGCCATGAAAATCAGTGAGTTTGGTTGGAGGAGATTAAGAGAGGAGGCCTGTTGGTGCATTGGTTAAAGTATTCATCTGTTAGCTGGATCTCTGAGGGAGAAAGATGAGATAGGCTGTGTCTGTACAGAGCACAATGTAGACAGGAAACACCACAGGGCAGTTCTATTCCGCCTTGGGGGCGGGGGTGTTGCTGTTAGTGACAGTTAATTCGAAGGCAGTGGGTTTGGTTTGAGAACCTTAATTTTCATTCAAGTAGGTCTTTTTCTGTAAAGTCACTGACCTTTCCGTTAACACCCAAGTGCTTACTGTCACACACCAGAGATCCTTCCGTACTTGTTATTGTTGTTGTTGTTGTTGTGAGCCACCAAGTCAAAGCGGCTCACAGCTGACCTTCCAGCAGGCTTTCAGAGGCTTAAATCACATAGGAGGAGATTGCCATTCTTCTCCTGAGAAGGAGCAGACTGGAAACACGTGCCTTCGGGATTGCACCGGAAGTCAACAATAAAACCAGCATCTCAGAAATAAAAACCACTAGGGATTGAATACTTACAGAGAATTAAGAGCTTCAGAGAGCTAAGCCCACCCAGGGTCCTTGTATCATTTCTTGAAGCCTGAGATTGTGAGTTCCAGAGCAAGAATGTCTATGCGTAAGCCCCTTGTGAGCAGTGTGCGCTTGGTTAAGTTAATTTGCTGTTAAAGGGTCATTTTCAGACGGAAAGATAAAATCATGACTCCGACAGACCCACTGCCATCAACCAAACTCCAACTCACGGGAGCATCCATTGGTTTTTTTTTTAGGACGTAAAGCTGATTTACAAAAGGAGAATGTCCATCTTTCACTTTAGGAGTGGCCAGTGGATTTGAACCATAGATTTTTTTCAGCTATTAGCTTTACACAGTAGTTACTAGGACTCCTTCCATATGGATATAGAATGCAAAATGCGGTTCTCCTCATTAATCAGTGTCCTGGCACGGAAGTCCTTGAAGAGTTGTGCTGCTAACACAAAGGATGTATCTCTCTGGCAGCTGAAATCCACCAACTGCTCCCTGGGAGAAAGATGGGCAAGTGGTTTCCATCCTCTAAAAACCTCCTGGAGGGTCGGTTACAGGCGGGTTCTGACTTGTCCCCAATGAGTTTTTGTTCTTTGATACCATCTGGTCAACAATGACTCATAGTGACTCTGTGAACAAAAGACAGAATCTCACACTATGTCAACAAAAGAGAGAATCTCGCACTATCCTGTGAAGTCCTTATGAACATCTCATGTTCAAGCTCATTGTTACAATCTTTGTGTCAATTCATGTCCATGAGGATCATTCTCTCTTTATTGACTCTCTACTTTTCCCAACAAAATGTCATTTACAAAGACTAGTAGTTCCCCTGATAACATAAACAAAACGTGAGCTGGAGTTTCACCATCCTTGTTTGTAGGGAGCACCCTGGTTACACTTCCTCCAAGACAGATTTTTTTTTCCTCTCTTTGTTTTGCTTTGGAGGAATTCAAGGTGAATATGGAAAGCTTTGAACACAAAGTGGTGGTAATACACAATGAGTCTGACTTGAGTTCTGCTTTGAGTTGAGTTGATCTATACATTATACCTATGATGTTCTCAATCACCTGCTATGAATCGGAGAGCTGGACAATGAATAAGGATGGCAGAAGAAGAATTTATGCCTTTGAGTTGTGGTGCTGAAGAACAGTACTGAATGCTAAGAAAACAAACAGCTATGTCTTGAAGAGGGTGCAGCTGGAGTGCTTCTTAGAGGCAAAGATGGTGAAGCTTCATCTTTCATTTTTTGGACATGTAACTAGGCTAGGCTATTCATTGGAGGGGGACATCATGCTTGGAAAGATGGGGGTTCAGTGAAAGAGAGGAAGACTCTCAGTGAGACGGATTGACAGTGACTTCAGCAATGGGCTTGTGTGTTCTAGAGATGGTACAGATGATACAGGATAGGACAGGGATCAGGTTGGCTGTTCATTAGGTTGCTATTAGCTGTACTCGACTTGATGGCACCTAACAACAATGATGACATACACTGTATCTACGTCTCCTCACTGAGGAATACTGAAATGGATGCGAAAAAGGAGGCAAAGATGGAATTTTCCATGGGAAAATTTTCATTGTTATCAGTTACTTATAATTTACAGAATAGTAAGACAGCAATCACTCCCATTATTAAGAAAAGATATTGCTGTGAGCCTGTAAGTTGTGAAGGTGATATTTAAAATAATGGCTAGTGCAACAATGAATGAATGGAAACCCAAAATCTCTGTAAATATTTATGAAAATTAATAAAATATAATTATAGAAAAAAAAATAATGGCTTAGTCACTCAGGGCAGGTGGATGGATTTCAGCAGAGCTTCCATACTCAGACAGACTAGGAGAAAAGGCCTCATTTGACTTCTGCAATTTCCCAGTAAACCATCTATGAGTCAAAACCGAGTATTGTTCTGCGTAGTGCTGGAAGAGGAGCCCTTAGATGGGAAGACAGCCAGCACACAGAGTGGCTGCAGGCCTCCATGGACTCCAGCATACCATGGTTGTAAGAATGACACAGGAGTGGACCATGTTTTGTTCTGTTGTCCTTGATGTGGTGATGAATCAGAGCTGAGATGTGACAACGGCTAGCACCAAATTACCTTAAAACCACCCATGACCCCTTAGCTACCACCTCTGAGTTAAAGTTACTTTTGTCCTGCCATTGATACTGATACAATTCTCTCTTCTATCTCACAGGATTGACACCCTTTCCTCCTTTCAAATATTCTGCAGAGCAACTGTTCCGTTGAGGAAAGCAACTGTCCCTAAGAGGATGCCCCCAAATCTTCTCTGTGCAACTTTTTTGCTGATGTACAGGAGGACCTCACTAGCTCCAGAACTTTCTAGAAAATCTAGACTATGGTGGAATGGGGATGTTATGTTATGGTTTATTGCACAAGAGTTTCTGTTCTTGATTATTGGTTTATCTTCAAAGTCCAACAATTCTTTGATGCCCATAAATTTGTCGAGATGGCAAAGGCTAAGGCAATAGGATGGACAATAAAGTCTGGGTACCATTTTATCTTCTCCTAAGTATGGTATGTTTACTTGTGATTCAAGACTGTGACCCCAGCATTCATTCAAGTTCCTAATAGAGACTAGCACTCAGCAAATGATGCCTGGATGGCTTGTGATTGACAGCAGTCAAGTAGACTCCAACTCACAGCAAGAACAAGCATCACAGAATCAACGTCTGCCCTGTCCTGCTCCATTCTTGCAGTCACTGCTGTGTTGAAGCCCATTGTTTCAGACACTGTGCCAATGTTGCCCCTTGAGGGTTCCCCCTTCCCCTCTCCCATTGACTCTCCACTAAACATGATATCCTTCTCCAGAAACTGCTCCTTCCTGATAACTCATCCAAAGCATGTAAGACCCAGTCTTACATTCTTTTCTTCTAAGATGAATTCTGACTGTACTCTAAGACAGAATATTTTTTTAATTCTTCTAGTGTATATATTCCATTATCTTC